AATCAACATTTCTCTTCATTGAAATTGCCAAGCGCCGGTGTGATTATCTCCTCTACATTAAATGCGCCCTCATCCGTATTTAATGTTTAAAAAGGGAATGTCATTTCAGCATAGCTTGCATTTAATGCTCATGGCTGACACTTATTATGCAGAGACACGTCTGTTTGATAAAGCTTATTTCATTGACCAAGACAACTGTTAAACACAACGGATAACATATAAAGAGGTTGTTCAGATAAGACATTTTTTCCACATGTCAAGCTCCAACACCGAATAAGATGAGTCTCAGTTTTTGATAGTGAAGTGTTCTAAGTGTTTTCAGGTCGTGAATGACAGGAAGAGTTTGAAACACATTTTCATAGCACTGATCAAGATCTGGCTCAGGTCGTTAGACCTTTAAGAACGATCATGATAGGTCGCTTGTGTAATTCTTGAGACCCATGTCATAATTTACACTTAGTTCGCCGGTCAGATCAAGCCATCAACCTCATGTCATTTGTAACAATGTGGTTATTCTCAACTGTTAGTTAGAGCATACATTCCTTGAGACAAATCAAATCGTGGCATAATCATGAAGTTCTCAAGATTCAATTCTTGAACCTTAAGAATTGGGGAGCTTTTGTTATGCCTAAAAAATCAGGGCTGACGTAAGCTCACATCAGCAAGCATCAATCAAAGTTTAGAAATGCTTTGCGCCATCCAGGAGCTGCCATGTCATCCCAGGATAGAAAGAATATGACTATCATCAACTTATTAAATTCAGGTTGTGTCTACGAGTGACTAAGGACTGCACACCTATCTAAGCCCTAGATAATTTGAGGATATTTTCTAAGTTATCAGCCAATGGGAGACAAGAAAGGATTTGCACGGCACCTATCCACTTGCAGATTTGTAATCATTACCTTGAATTCCTCTACTATAAATGGAGGGCTCCCCCTCTCATTTTCGAGATGTTAAAACAAAACCCTTATTCTGATTGTAGTCTTTATTTTCAGAGCAAAGTAACCTATGAGAAAGAGACTGACTTGATATTTCTCTCTGAATACTCAGTTATTGTACATCTACTCATTGTTCGCTATACGCAACCTCTTGCAATCTCTCATATATAAAAGAAAAAGGGGATGTAGGATTTGCTTTAAGCATCCGAACCACTTTAAAAATCATCTCTCTCATTTATTATTCAGTCTTTGTATTTGATTATATTGATTAGCTCTATCACAATCATTCACGTGTAATTTCTAAGACTTTCTCAGCACTTTGCAAGTGCGAGTCGTTGGTGTCAAAATCACGCATCAACACCTGGAAAAACCAGATTGTACATTCTATGGGATTCTTACTCAAGGTGCTTGCTTGGTAGTAATATTCCAGTTTTTCATTCCACAATGCAGACTTCTAGTAATCAATCCTGGTTGTGGCTGATAATCAACTTGATCTTCTTTAGTGGAAGTATCATGATGTTATGGTAGCTCTTCATTTTTCTTTGTTAAATGAATGTGTTGGTGCGTAATTTTGACACCAACGACTCACACGTGCAAAGTGCTAAACTGTTATTAGAAATTACATGTGAATGATTCATGAGAATTGTTTATAGTGTTGAGATTATATACGTTTGATGAAACATAAATAAAAGATTGGCAAGAGAGATTTTTATAGTGGTTCGGATACTTAAAGCGAATCCTACCTCCACTATTATTTTATTATTCTCTGACTATTTTTCTGATATTACCTATAAGGTGTACAAAGATGGAGAAATACTTTGTTTACAGAGAAAAACAATGAAGCTCAAATCTATGTCCAGCTCTCATATGACCAACCTCTCTTTTTCATGAAAAGATGTGTCCATTTATATCTTTGAGGTCAATGTAATGAGTGTTTTTGCAAGTTATCTTGAAACATGGGAACCACTCCTTAATCATTATCTTAAAATGGGATATGATTGATATAAAATATCTCTTGGAGGTAGTTTGAGTTTTTGACAGCTAATACCACATTATCTTTAAGTGATTATTGAACTCTGATTGGTGGTGCTGACATTAGTGTGTATTTTTTGCACAACAGAATGTTTGGTTCTTATCTTCTTCAAGTGTTTATCTGGGTAAAGACTAAGGCTCCGTTTGGTACATATATTGGGAAAAGTTTTCCCAATAAAGTTAACACAAAATTTGTGTTTGGTTCACCTATTTTCAAAATATAATTCTAAATTATTTAATTTCTTTTAAACCCCCTAAATTTGTTAATTTAACTAAACAACCCTAATTTTTTTTTAAAATTGACAAAAACACCTTAACAACCCAAATTTACCAGATTCTAACCACCATTGTCGGAAGCTAGCCGGAATCTGGTGTAATGGCGCACTACCAGTTGAATTTGGCCGGTAGTGCGCCGATCTAGCTTTTTCCGGCCAGATCCACAATGGATCTGATCGGAAAAGGCCAGATCTATGGCCAAAGATCTGGTCGTAGACAGTCGTCAATGACGGGCAAAATATAGTCGTCGTTGACCATCAATGACGGCCGTATCTTTGGCCGTCGTTGATGACCAAATGCCCTCAATGGTCAGGGCAAAATATAGTCGTCGTTGACCATCAATGACGGCCGTATCTTTGGCCGTCGTTGACAACCAAATGCCGTCAATGGCCAGATCTAGCCGTAGATATGGCATTTTCCCGCCAGATCCATGTTGACGACCAAATGCCGTCAATGGCCAGATCTAGCCGTAGATATGGCCTTTATCGGCCAGATCCATGGTGGATCTGGCGGGAAAAGGCCATATCGGCGCACAACAGGCAAGATTCAGCGGGTCATGCCTCGATACGGCGACTCTGGCCACCCTCCGGCGGTGGTGGCCAGTTGTCCGTATTTAATGAGTGGGTTGGGGGTATTTTTGTTAACTTTGAATATTTTATTATAGGGGTGTTTAGTAAATAAATAAACATAGAGGGTATTTTTGTTAATTTTTAAAATTCTAAATCGTAATACCCACCTAATTGAATTTTTTTCAAAATATTATTCTAAAAGCTATCTAATAATGAATCAAATGGAGCCTAATCTTCTCCAAGTAAAAACTATAAAGGATCGAACAACGATGTTGATTCATTGTAAAATTGAAGATATGATATCACAGAAATAAGTAAAATCTAAATGGGCATTGCATTAATTGTCTTGTTAATATTTGATAAAAGAGAGATAATAAGCTCCAATAAATTTGTTTTAAGTAGTTGGTCGTCTTCTTCCTGGAAGCAGAAACCAAATCCAGATATCTCACATTGACAGGCATGCATGCAAATGCAAATATCAAAATCAAAATGAAGTCAGAAACTTGTCCTCACGTGCAAACTGATGATATTTCATCTTTCTCTTTCCAGTCCAACGTCAAGGATGAATAACAACATTAGTATTAGTTTGACTATGTCCAGTGACCCGCATGGTATATGTATATTCTGTGACTCACCTCTTGTCGCCTTCTCTTTCAACCCATGTGCCATTTCAAAGTTTTATACATAGAAAACAGACTTGGACTCATCGTACCTAGAACACGCGTATTAAAATTTATCTCTTCACAGTCACAATTACGCATTAATCTATTAAACTACTACCACAATTTTGGGATGGATATTTCGTACATAATTGTGGTTCTTAAAGTGTGGACCACTTCGTTTATGAAAATCCAAAAGTAAATTTGCTATCTCATTACTCATTTCTCAAACCCATAAATAAAATGTCACTAAATTGATGACTATGCGTGTAGCTAACATGTTTGATTGTCGGGGATGGATTAAGAAGGAGGTGGAGGAGAAGAACCATATATAACATGCATGCATGCTATACCTCTTCACATTTAGGAGGAGGAGGAGGACCCTACATAACATGCATGCATGCTATACCTCTTCACATTTAGGAGGAGGACGAGGAGGACACTACATAACATGCATGCATGCTATACCTCTTCACATTTAGGAGGAGAAGGACCCTACATAACATGCATGCATGCTCTACCTCTTTCAATCTTCATGTGTTGAATGCAAACGTTTGTCTGATTTAAAACGAGAGATAATTGCTAACTTGTTCAAGACAACGTACGTTATCCAACATCCATCACGGTTCCGTAATGTTTCTTTACAAAGTATAATCCAAATTAACTCATATAAATTGATACATTCTCTTTTTCGTTTTATATGTATATAAAAGACAAAAAGAGATGATAGATAAATGATCATATTCATTAATATTTTCTTTATATTTATGAATGAAGAGTAATGAAAAATAAAATATAGAATTTTTAGCATTTCTCTTTTAGGAATTAATTTATATAACTAGAAACATACTGTGGCTAGAGATTGGTTAGTCCAACAAAAATTTGAAGATTTTCTATATAAATATATCAAGTTCACCCCTAAAAGTTTTTTTAAGCGTTCCTTATTCGTTAAACTTAATACTTTGATCCCTTAAATGCAAATGCAATTGATTTGAATTTTCCGGCTCCAGCCTGGCTGACGTTGCTGAAAATTTTGGCAGTTCTACAAGAAATTACTATCTTGCATTCTGCAGACTGCAGTGAAACAGACCAATATTTCAGCGATGTCAGATCCCTGTTATAACAATTAATGCTTTATAAAATATAAGCTAACCTTTACGGTAAATCGATGTGAGTTATTTCATCTTTCAGATTAGCTAACCTTTATTTTCCAGGAGATTCATGCTATACAAAAACAGGCCGGATCGGGCTGCAAGTGTCACGGTATTCCTTATTTTTAACAATAAATAATTGCATCTGGGATCATAAATCAAGCAAATCCCGATATGGGTTTTTATTTTCTCTTGAAATAATTTATTTGCCATATTTGGAACATAGAATTCAAGATGTGACAATATATAGAGCTAAAAATCCTTAAATAAAAACCATATATTGCCAACGTTGTGCTACAAAATCTACTACTGATGCAGCTTACTGCACTTCTAATCAGAGCGAAATTACACAGAATAATTTTCTTACGTAGAGGATACAGAACCATATATAGACTTGACTAACAACAACTGGGCTCATAAATATTTATAATTCGTTGATCCATATTGCATATCGTCACTATCTAATGTTCAGGAAGCCAGTTAACCTCCATTTATTGATAACTTGGTTTTGCTCTTCATCAATCGCATCGGTGCTGATTTATTCAGAAAAACGGATCGAAACTTCATCAGTAAATCAGTTCATGCAACCTTTGACAGACTCTTGAAGTCTCTACACCAACTCTAGAAATTTTAACCTGCAAAATTTGTTAATTAAATTAAAGTCAATCTAATGAAACAAGATCAGTAAAAATTTACGATATTAATTAAGAACTAATTAACATTCATAATCACTCACCTGGGCGTGTATTGTGTGGAAAAGCTTATCACCCAAGGTAGAAAAACTAGCACTAACAACTTCAGCTCCTTCATCCTCAAGGATACTAATGGCTTCATATAACATAAAGTTTTTTTGCAGTCCACTTATCAAAACCACTTCAATACTAGGACCACATTCTCTTAAGTCAACCAGGGGTAATCTTAAACCAAAATTCATTGTATCCATTATATTACTGTTAGACGTTTTTACTGACTCTGTTGCTGCTTCTTTTATCTCCTTTAATTTCTCTATTCTGTCTCGTAGCTGCTTTATGTAGGTGGCAGCTTGGTCGAGCTGATCTCCTTGTGATATTATATCCTGAAAAAAGAAAAAGCATCCACTTATTCGTAAGGAAAAACAAAAGGTATGAATAGGAATGAGGTTGGTAATAATAATTATTTCCTTCACTAAAAATCTGTGGCCAAACTATTCTCGACATTTAGTTTTCTTCCTCCAATAGTATTTCTAAACACCTTATTTTACTAAAATCGTTAAATAGACGAGGTTATGAATAGATTCATAGTATCTATGTTACTGAATTCGCGGGTATTAGTTGCTTGCGGCCATGGTGAAGAGAAGGAAGGGAGCTGCGTACAGGGATGAAATATTGATGTGAAAAATCTATCCTTATATATTTTCTCTCTTTCAAGAAATAGAAGTAATAATTTTGACGAGACGTATTATCTATATCGATATAGATTTGCGTAATAATGAAAGTTAAAGTAAGAACTAACAACCACATTGTTACTTAATTAAAAATTGGTCGCTGCATCATTGTCAAGTAAAAGCAATAATTCTGAAGATACGTGGTGGAAATAGACTGTCTTGGCTCATAGTGTAAATTATAGTTTATGCGGAAGAGAAAGGACGATAAAAAAAAAGTACTGTTCGGGCCAACTTTTGGTAATTTATGAAAAATATAAAAAAGCAAACCTAAAGCTGATTAATTTATTCTTCACAGCTGCTTTGTGACTTATGAAATGGTAGTTAGAGAGATTTTTCTCTTCCATTTAAGTTATTATTTTAATCATGGGAGAAAGGGTTATGATTCAGTACAAAATGGTAGAGTTTTAAGTTTTAATTATTGCAATTAAGAGACTGAGAAGCAAGTAGAGGAATAATAATGAATTACCTTGGAGGTTCTGATTTGTTGAGAAGGAATGACAGAAGCAAGCTTGAAGCATAAAGTTTTCATGTGATGTCTCCGATTCCTTTCAATAATTTTTCGATCAAGTTTAGAAGAAGAAGACTGGTCACTCACCTTTTTCTTCATCTCTTCACTCTCACTCAAATTACACAACACAAGAAAAAGAAAGAAAGAGAGAAAATGGCAGAAGAAATGAAAGAAGAAGAAGTAGGTTTATGAGTAACAGAGTTCAGGATTCAAAATGTAAGTTAAATAGATAGTATATATAGACAAATAATGAAGATGGGGAAACAGCCTACGAAACCTCAGGGAGAGAGAGAGGGAGAGGAATACGAATTGAAAATGATGACAAGGTGGGTCCTGCCATAAAATGGTTAGCTTAATAATACTTAAATGCCCGACAACAGAGAAGATGAAGATCCTTTTCGACTACGTATTCATTACATGAACGTTTTGTTCTCTAGCTCTTTGCTTGACCTTGACTTTTCTCTCTGTTTTTTTTTGTTTTTTTTTTTTTCTTTTGAAGTCCCGCGCTCTCACCGACCACTATTTTCTGTGTCATTTTCATTTTTACAGGGGCTTCCGTCCACTTTTCTGAAGGGGTAAACGGTTTGGTGGTTATCTTTTCCCAATAAGCAATGATCTCATCAATATTTTACTTAGAATAATCTTTCATTTATAGTCTCTTCTTACAAACTTTCTCTCGCAATCTTGATATAATAGTTTACAATTAATAGTTACAATTTATTAGGTAAAACTCAGGTAGGACTCATTATGAGCTGACTAATCATAAGTTATCACGTCAAGGTTGTAAAAAAAAGTTTGTGAGAAGAGATTATAAGTGTACCATTTTCCTTATAGTTAAAGAGTCTCTATTTCCCGTCTAGTCACCCAGGAGTTGTTCATTTTATCTTATTTTCTTCTTCTCCTCGTTCAATTTAAATCGGTTTTCAAATGTTTATATTTTCATTTTCTAATATTTGACTAATAGGTTACATCAATGTCTATTGGTTTATTTATTTATGAAATAGAAAAATTAAATTTGATTACTAAAACCCAATTAAAACTGACTCTCCTTCTATAAAAATAGGCAATACTACACTTACAACCAACTTTCTCTCATAATCCTATTGTGACAACTCGCAATAGGCCTCGCCTACCCAATTATAAGCTGAGCAGTTATGAGTTGCCAAATCGATAGGGGTTTCAGAAAAATATAAAAACCGAACCGAACGACATTTTCAGTTAACCGAAAAACCGGTTCAGTTTCGGTTCATAGAATTTAAAAAACCGTATTTTTTGTTCGGTTACCGGTTTGGGAGAAAATGCAAAACGGTTTTACTAACCATTTACAATGTTATAATAATAATAATATATAATACATATTATATTAAAATATAAAAAAATCCCTAAACCTAAATCCATTTTACGTATGGATGTTTAATTTTTATTTTGATATGTATTGTTGATATTTACAATTTAAATCAAGAAAAATTTAAAAAAAAATTAGTTTAAGCGTTAAGGAGAAAACTGTTCAAAATTGGTTAATCGGTTTTTTGTAAACGGATAATCAGTTTTTCAGTTAATCAAAAACTAAATTGGTTCGGTTTTGATTAAAAAAAATTAAACCAAAAGTCAGCTCTATTCGAGAAAAACGGTTCACCGGTCCAATTAACTTGTGTGAACACCTTTACACATTGAAGTTGTTTAAAAAAAAAAAAAAAAAAAATTTGCTGCCAATCTTTACCGTATACAATAAGCTTTCGAAGACCCATCATTAATTTATCAGAAAGTCGGTACTAATTTCTTTTACTAAACGGTGGGTAGCACACTAATTTAAAATATTAATTTATTATATTTCATATAATTCTGATGGAAAGTGTGAACTTGGGCAATTTACATCAGATATAAAAGATTTGTTTCTGACTTTGGAATTTGGAGTCCATGGGAAATAATTATTCAAGCTTTACGGATAGAAGTCATTCTCCAGATCTATAATGATGACAACAGCATGAGAAAAATATTTATTAAATTTACTGTGGAATCCCGTACACTGACACAGTAACAATGACATGAGAAGAAACCCAGTCCATTCCCATCAAAATCTAAAGCGTGACATGTGACGTCATTGTTTTTTACACTCTGGAAATGGGACCTCCACGCGGATTAAAACTTTTCAACAGTCAAACCATGAATTTGAATCGGAGATGAGTATTCAACGTTAAAACAGTTGACAACAACTTTTAGGTTTCATTTACAAATCATATAAGTCATCCGTACTTGTTTATTCCATCAACAGTTTGATCTGAATACTCACTGCATCTGCAAACTTTCAATAACACCAGATACCTAACACCTATTTTTGCCAGATACCGTACAGCTGACATTGCCATTATTTTAAGAACAATACTACTCTTACAAAGAAAAAAATAAAAAGGTCATACAAAGGCAATTTTTACCCTTCATCTTCATGATTTCTCTCTCTATCTCTCCCTCTTTTTCTGTTTTTTCTTTGTTTTTTCCTTCCTAGTGATGTCACTTTGTAACTCTCTTTGTATTGTCTTCGTAAGGATAGCATTTTACACTAGAAAATTCTAAGAGTTGAATATAGAGGAACACAACACGTGCATATAATTTAGAAGCAGTGGTGAAGCTGCGATATTAAACCAAACTTATTGCAGTTCATTAAGCTCCAAGCCTCCAGTGCCTAGCATGTTGCCAATAAGAATATAAGATACAGGAAATCCATATCACTTAACATTCCATAAAACTATCTCAATGGTTATCTGAAACAATCTAAAGAAATACGAAATTAAGACAGAAAACACAAAAATATCAATTGAGTAAAGAGAAAGAAATATACGTGTGGTTTATCCTAATTTACCTAATTAACATGTTACGTTTAGCAAATCAATATTATTGCAATATTGTCTCACTCTCTCGAATGAAGTGGTCGAATGTGTCTACATGACCCGTTATTGTTAAAGTGGTCAACAACTCCAAACATTATCCAATCCATGGCCAAATGATGAATACATAATCCCAGTCATGGTGTATTTCAATGACTTAGGTGCCAGAAAAATGCTATTTGGGTTGTATCACTAGCATTAATATTTTGACAGATAAAAGCAAGTAATTATCTACCTGAGTATATTGTGATGATGATGATGATGATGATGAAATCGAACGAGTAGAGAGTCAACCAGCTACAGGTCAAAATTGATTTCAATTCTTTTGTGTACATACTGTTAGAATTATTTATAATTCTTATAAAGTGGTCCATGTGAATTAAATATAATATAAGGTTAAGTAATAATTAACTTAATTGAAGGGCATATTGGTCTTTAACCTTTGATGGAAATGTTACATTAGTTAATAAAATAACTGATGTTTATAGTTAATTAAATAACTGCAATATAAAAGGTGAGTCCTCTCTCTATTCCCGCTAAAGAGTTTACGATTATAGAAGGGAAGAAAGGGAGAGAAACGCTGTCTATTTTGATTCAATCAAAATTCAAATTTTAATTTTCAAACTATGGAATCAGGTATGTATTTCTTTTATATATATGTGAAAATCCATCAAGTTTCAAGATACTATAATTTTATATTTGTGCAACTTAGGGCATAGAAACATGAATTGATTATTGATTCTTTGCTTTTGATGAGTTTGCTTTTAAATTTACAAGTGGTATCAGAGCAATTTCAGGTTTAGAGACTGATGAATTTTCCATTAAGTTATTTTTAGGGTTCTTATGGGATATAGAAATTAATTGGGTTTTGGAAATTGTGAAATAGAAATGGTTTGGGTAAAATATATTTAAGAAAGTAGTTTGGGTTTAGAAATTAAGGCTTTGTTTCGTTCACATATTTCTAGTTTTCTCAAAAAAGTTAAGTTTGTTTCACCTATTTTCCAAAATATAATTCTAAATTTTTTAATTTCCTTTAAACCCCCTAAATTTGTTAATTTAACTAAACAACCCTAAAAATTTTTTTTAAAAATTGACGAAAACACCCTAGCAACCCAAATTTACTAGATTCCGGCCACCACTGTCGAAAGCTGGTTAGAATCTGGTGTAATGGCACATTCAGTCTAGCCGGTAATGCGCCGATCCAGCCTTTTTCGGCCAGATCCACGTTGGATCTTGCCGTTAACGGCCAGATCTTTGGCCGTAGACAATCATCAACGACGCCCAAGATATGGTCTTCGTTGACCATACGGTCGTCGTTGAGAACCAAATGCGGCCAGATCTGGCTGTCAATGGCCAGATCTAGCCGCAGATCTGGCATTTTCTGGCTAGATCCATGGTGGATCTGGTCAGAAAAGGCCATAGCGGCGCACGACCAGCAAGATCGAGTCGGTCATATGCCGATACGGCAACTCCGGCCACCTCCGGCGGTGGTGGCTGGCTGTCCATATTTATGAGTAGATTGGGGGTGTTTTTGTTAATTTTGAATATTTTATTATAGGGGTGTTTAGTAAATAAATAAACATAGGGGGTATTTATATTAATTTTCAAAATTCTACATCGTAATGCCCACCCAATTTAACTTTTTTTAAAAGATTATTCTAAAAACTATTTTCAAAAGATTATTCTAAAAACTACCCAATAATGAACCAAACGGAGCCTAACAAATTGGAAGACTGTGGTAGATTTTTTTTTTTCTTATTCTGAAATGCAAATTTTCAGAATCCAGAAGCTTTTTTCAATAAAAAAATTTCATAAATTCGGAATATGAAGTTTACCTAATTTTCCAAAAATTCGACTCAATAATTGACCCATAAAATATTGACCCAACCCAATGATTAAAGCCTTATTAAGTGAGCCCAATTTTCAAATCCATTAAGAATAACCCATAAAGAAGCCTAACCCATAATCCATAAAGAATCCCAACCCTTTTGGTGAAACGGGTCAACCCAAATAGGTTAAGATGGGCAAACCCAAATCGAAAAAGTGGGTTAAATCGATCCGATTAGGATTCAAAAAGGTAAACTGAACCGGTCAACGGGTTAAACCAGTTCAGACCATTGAATGAACCGGTCAACCGTTAAAGTTAACGGTGACAATCAAAATTAACAATGAGGGTCGAATCAACCCAATTTTGTCCTTAATATGCGTTTAGGCACGTGAAATGTGTATAAGTTTCTAAAGTATAATTTTCTTTAGAGAAAGATAATTATGTAGAAT